TCGGGTACGGCTACACACAGCTGGGAGAGCAATAATCGGCGAATGCCCCGAGCTGCGTGGCTCCGAGCCAAATATTAAAAGCAAACCTATTTAGCCGAAGACATACGTAAGATATGCAAAAGTAACGGCCGCGTCTCATCGGCGACGCCCGACGCCCGATCCCGCCGCTTGCCAGCACGCAAAAACCACGCATGGACCTTCCAACGTTGCCAAATTTCCCTCCATAAAACTCTATCGTATCGGGAAAGTTGCAAATATTTTCCTACCGATTTTTCCCACAATGTAGCTCGTAATTACTTCTAAAAGATGTGTAAATTTCAAGGAAAAATATCCATAAACTTCTTCTTTAGCGAACTTTTTACCATGGGAAATTTGGCAACGTTGGAATGTTGATAGGTGGTTTTGCCTTAGCCGGGATCCTGAGGGACCCCCGGACCCGGACAACCCCGATTTCACGCGTCATTTAACCATGGCCGGCAATTATCCGGGCTTTTTCTTCCCGCCCCCGCGCCCCCTCTCCCGCGGGATACTTTTTCCTCGTTCCCCGGTTTTTAATTGGGCCCGTTCCCGGCCCCGCGACGGGACGCGAGTGCGGATGAAACTTTTCCGACGTCGGCGGCGGCGTCGGGACGCCGACGGGACGGAGGATGTCCGTGACAGCCTCCGGGGACGCTGATAAAAAACAGAGGCCCAGGATTTCGGGAAGCGAACGCAGACTTGGCCGTCTCGAAGAAGAACGCCGTATGAGCCTTCGAGTGTTGCCAAAGTTCTTTTGACGAATTGGTCTTTTCTCCACAGTGGAAAAAAAAATAACACATTGGATCCAGAGTCCAGACTCTTATAAACATCGACAAGAAAAACACTCTTGATTCAATCAGAATCTAGCTTAAATCAAGAACCAAGCCTCTTAATTTGAGCGGATTTCCTTTTGATCCAAGCAAAAATCTAATTGAATCAAGAGTATTTTTTCTTGTCAATGTTTTCAAGAGTCTCGACTCTAGATCCAATGTGGTTTTTTTCCAGTGCACTTAAACCTTTGGAAATTTATCGATTCTTGGAGAGGCCAGGTGCCCCGGCAATAATCGATTATTTAGCATTGGTTTAAATGGTGGAAATCCGATGTTGCCGAATAGCTGGATCCGCCGTTGTGAATTTCAAATTTCTGGCGGAAAATTAGCAAATATTTTTCTTCCGATTTTTCAGAAAATTTTGTTCCCAATTTGCTCTGACATTCCTGAAAATTTTAAGGGAAAATGTTCGCAGCTTTCTTCAAAAATAAATAGTTTCCTGTAAGAAATTTGGCAACGTCTGAAGGCTCATACGGCGTTCTTCCTTAGCACGGCAGGAAGGTCGTCTTCGCCGTGTTGAGGAACAACGTGCTGTCGCATGGGCATCCGGGTGTCACCGATTTCCCCCAGAAGAGTATTCAATTTCGGAAAAGTTTACGATTATCTTTTGTTCTAATTTACAGAGGTAAATATTGCATCAAATTACGCGTAAACTTCTCTAAAAAAATCGGAGGAATAGAAACACAACTCTTACTTAACTTTTCAGTAAGGTAAAAATTATTCAATTTAGGGAAAGCTTACGAAACTTTTTTGTTCTAATTTACAGATATAAAGTTTGCATCAAATTACGAGTCAAATTCTCTCAAAAACTCGGAGGAGTAGAAACACAACTCTTAGACCTAACTTTTCTGCACTTTAACAATCCTGTAAAGAATTCTTAAAAGTCAAAAAATGACTGGGGAAAGAATATTTCAGACTTTTAGCCCGTTTCCTGGTTGTATACTTCTACGCCGCACCGATATTTTTATTGCCGTAGGGACTAATAGTTCTAAGTGTGGGTAGACAGAGGACCCATACCTCCAAGGATTCTGTTAATTTTTCCCCCTCCTCTGTGAAATTCACAGACTGGGTGGCAACTGGCAAGGCGTGGTTATCAACTATCGATACCTCCCCATTTGAAGCTGCGGTAAAGAATCGATTACCAAGGGGTTCGTCGCGAACATTCTGGCTATCGATCATTTGCATAGGTTTAAAAGGCAGATAAATCGATTTATCGCAAAGCACGCTGCGCCACCGGTGGCAACTTACGGACGAGGTTCGTTCAAGCTATTCAAGAGCTAATCTCTAAAGAGGCTTAGGGATAGTCTCCATTCGAAATTATGTAAGCAGAAGAATAGCGCGGCTGCATTTTTAACAGTCCTTGTCGACTCGGTTCCCGTTATCAGGATCATTTTTAGTCCGCCTTTTTACGAGTGAAACGGCTGCGATTAGCTCGGCAAAAGAAAAGTTACATCCTGCCGTGGGAGATTAGGAAGTGTGAGCGGAGGAAAATTTGCATGATTGTAGGTTAAATTGTATAGCTCGGAATTTTTCGTAGGGATAGGAGTCGGTGATTGTAAAGCCCTCACGGGAGAGAGTCCTGATGCCGGAAAATTTTCGAAGTAGCAAAAAATTAGCTTGTTTTAAAGGACTACAACTTAACAATTAAAAAAAGAAAAAAAGAAGCACTGGAAAAAAACACACATTGGATCTAGAGTCCAGACTCTTAAAAACATCGACAAGAAAAAATACTCTTGATTCAATCGGATTTTTGCTTCAAGAACCAATCCTCTTAATTTAAGTGGGTTTCCTTTTGCTTTAAGCAAAAATCTGATTGAATAAAGAGTATTTTTTCTTGTCAATTTTTTCAAGAGTCTGTACTCTAGATCCAAAGTGTTTTTTTTTTCCAGTGAGTGATGTTCTCAACTCAAAAGTTTATTGTATTAACAGATTGATACGCGGCCTCCGTGCGTACTTAGTACCCAATTTACGTTTTTTAAAAAAAGAATATCGTTGATTGCTCATCAAGTTCTAAAGAGAATGATTCCTGTGACACAGTTTCAGTATACCCGATTATTCTATGAAAATTGAAATACATATCACAAACACTGTAAAAATTTCCTCTTAGGAGTTTTTTCTGTTCTTTGGAGACCCGCACAAGAAACAGATCAAAAAACCTTATTTTACTTACTTGCGCGTCCTTTCATCTAATTGTACGCCCAGATGAGTAAAAATAATGTTTTTGTTTTTTGAGAATTTCCTCCGACATGATTCTTCCAATTTAAAGTTATCTTCAGCAACTGCGGCAGATGGTCTGCTCTTAATCCAAAAACCATCGCATTTTAATTGTTTGACTATTTGCAATGGAAAAATTGAAATTTCCCCTTAAATTTAAAAACCATTGCATTTCAATTTTTTGGCTATTTTCAATGGAAAAATTGTACCGGAGCACGAAATTTAAAGTTGCCTTTGAATTCAAAAACCATTGCATTTACATTTTTTAATTATTCTCAACGGGAAAATTGTACCGGAGCATGAGCTAAAAATTCGCCCATAAATTTAAAAACCATTGCATTTAAATAGTCTGACTATATCCAATGGAAAAATTGCACCAGAGCACGAGCTTAAAATTTCCCTTTCCCAACTATTCCCAATAAATCCGAATATAAGTGGAAAACCCACGAAGCGCGTTCCGATGCAATTCAAATGCAGGAATCTTAAATCGCGCTCGCACGGTTAAAAAGCGATTAAAGATAATGAATCAAAGGAAAATACGCGCAGATTTTGTTTTGACAACCCGAGGACTGGATTCCTACCGTGGCGAGACGTTAACGATCGATTATCGATACTTTCCAATTGGAAGCTATGGTAAAGAATCGATTATTAAGGAACACCCTATTTATCGATACTCTTCCATAAGTTCAAATGGCAGATCAATCGATATATCGCAAAACACGCCACACCGCTGGATTCCTAACGAGTGAATCGATCGGGAGGAGTAGTTAGCTACATGATTTCTTCATACAGCTCGTTATTTTCGCGACTGATCAGGAGCTTACAGGAGCTTAGAAAAATTCCCGCGACGCGTAGTGCGCCTTGCTAATCGACCTCATTCTCTTCCCGATGACGTGACGTACGTGACGTCGCTGACACTTGTCGCAACTTCATACTGTCGTGCGAAGGAAAAACGCCGTATGAACCCTCAGGCGTTGCCAAATGCCCTTCCATAAAATGAGGATTTGCTGGAAAACTTGTGGATACTTCTCCTAAAGATTTTCACAGAATTTCATTCGCAATTGAATCTATAGTAATTGAAAATATCAAGGAAAAATGTCAATAACTCTCCTCAATAATGAACATTTTTAAGAGGAAATTTGGCAACTATCGAATGCTCATACTGCGTTTTTTCATAGCACGGCTGCATAGGACACTGTGACGGCTTATTCTGAGATGCAAAATAAAATGAGTCTGTCGCAACCGAGAGGTATAGTCATCGCACGAAAATCATGTTGAGTATGTTAAAGGTCTCAAATATTCTCTGAAATGCACAACCCAAGGAGCACAAATAGCAATTAATTACAAGGGAAAATTATTGCAACTGCATCGAAGTGCTGTGTATGTTGCCTATCTACCGATTGAAGGAACTCTTCTAAGTTATTGGAATGGAATTTAAATAAGCAGCGTTTTTTCCATTGCATTGCAAATTGCCTTCCTCTTTAATAGGTACAGAGAACTCGTTGTGTTGATGGTTAAAAATTGGTATTTATTGACCGAATGATGTAAAAATTCTGCAATCTCAAGGTGAAAAATTGCAATTCTTGCATTAAATCGCAATCTTATTTCAATATTTTCCTTGCACCCTGCTATTTTGAAATTTAGGTGTTCGTTTCGAACACCCTATGTATCGACCCTTTACCAGAAGAGGTTTGTATGGCTGATCGATCGATTTATCGCAAAGCACGCAACGCCACTGGCTCATGCAGCCGAGCTGTGTCCCTGGATCGGTTTGGTTTGAAATTTCAAAATCGAGTTCTCACATGAGCTAAGCGTATACAGCGATTTTCTTGATATTTTGGATATTTTCATAATAGTAAAAAATATGTGGCAATTGTCTCAATATTTTGGATCCCTGGTTTATGTTTTTTACAACCACCTTCTGTTTCTTGTTTTCAGCTACATCTTCCCAAGATGATCTGCACCGACGAATTGGTGGTCGGTGCCTCACCAACAACATGAGAGTCATCTTCAAAGTCTGCTGCCGCCCTGATGAATTCCACAATCAAAGTAAGTTACGAGGTCCTATTGCAGCACGAAATGTCTCTTCTTTAAATGATTTCTTTTTTTTTACTTTCATGGTGTTTCAGCTTCAGAGAGTGTTGAATGAAACAATTACATGTAATTTGAATTCTAAGATGAAATGATTGGAATTTTTTCGAGGATAAATTGTATGGGGTGTCACGCAGATTGATTTCCCAGGATCTAGAGAGAAGAATGACTTGTTGGTTCATAATATAGCACTTGCATGTTGCAGGAATTTTCAATGCACCTATTAAACTAATGCAGTGTGCCTTGCAACCTTGAAACCCAGGAATTATCCGGGAAGCTGCAGACAAATTTCTTGATTTTACGAATCTATGAATCGTGGAGTTTTTTTTTGTGTAATCGTCGAATTTTCTTTTTTGTTTGAAATTCCTCCCTTTTTTTGGTCATGGAAGGCATAGAAGGCACTTGTGCTCTTTACATTCTACTTTCAAATTCAGACCCCGTCTGGTGGTCCATTGAATGTGAACTCAGATTTGGACTGCATTTAACAGAAAGGAACACATCAGCTTTTGCCAAATTTAACTGAGCAATTTAATTTTTTCTCGAGAACGTTTATGCTGATTTTTTTTGAAATTCTTACGGAATTTGATTCATACTAAGCAGAAAATTCACTGAAATTTGCACAAAATTCCGCACAGCCGTTTTTATGTAACAAATTAAATCGCCGAATTAAATTAGGCGATTGCCGATGAGGCTTGGTTCCTTTCTGCATAACGCGGTACATTAATTGACAGCCATGGACTTTTTTAGCCCAATTCGGTTGATAGATTCGAAAACTTACAATGTGCCTGTCAGATTTGTTTTGCAAGTTTCTAAGATTAAATTTTGAATTGTTTCAGGTACCTTGAGCGATTCATCGAGTGCCAACCCTGTCAAATCGACAGTGGCTCCAACGTGGGTGCCTCAGACTCGAAGCCCGTCGCCACGACCCACAACCAACACGGTCGTCGTGCACCCGATTTATCCTCCTGTCAAGCCGACAGCTTTAGATTTCCCCAAACCAACAACCAAAAAGTCACGTAAGTATTACATCTGTCTTATATTTGTACCTTTGAAAATGAGGAATCCAGGGCTTGAGCTGAAAAAATTGTTAAAAAGCGTTGTTTACTTTTGAAAAAAAAAATCTGCGGTCGGTAAATCAGAGCGTCTACAAGTCCGGAATTTCAGGAAAGTCCGGAAATAGTACTGATTTTTAAAGGGCGGTCCGGAAGTACTGAAAAAGTGCAGATACTTCGCAAGAAGGTCCGGAATTTTTTCCATTTCTTGTCATTTTTGTTGCAATGTAAGCGAGAAAGTCAAATTTTTTAAAATTTTCGAACTTTGTCAAATAGAGGTACTGAGAAAGTACTGAATTTTTTGGGAATGTACTGAAAAAGTATTGTAAAAGTACTGATTTTTGGCCAGCCTGCTTTAGTAGACACCCTGGTAAATTTTTGTTTAATTTCTTTAAAAAATATTCGAGCAAAATAATTTTGTTTTTAAGTGTAATGAAGTTTTCCTTTAATGGTAACTTCCGTCATCAATGAAAACTTGAATTTTCTTTGATTTGAAAATAAAAAATTCATTAAATTGAAATAGATATTCCTCTCACTCGAAATGAGTTTCCTTCAATCAGGAGAATTCGCCTATTAATCAAAATAGAATAATTTTGAACTGTAATATTTTGATCACAACCTAAGACCTTTTTTTTTTAAAGTCAAAGAATTTATTTTTACCAGTGCAAAAAAACCAGGAATCACCAAGATTTACGAGGGAATGAAACATATCCAGAACTTTCAGGGAATTTGTCAGAGAATCGGTGTTAAGAGGAAACACCCATTCGCTGATTATTGCACGATGTATGAAACGATACATAGCTTTTAAATCCTAAAAAACAACACTTTCCTAAGAATAAAACCATACATTGTTTGTTTGTTTGTTTGTTTGTTTTTTTTTTTCAATACTTCATTTTTTTCCTCAGCAAACTTCAAAACATCATAGCTCCAACTCGGTTCGATATTTTCTGTTCCTAAATGTTTATAGATTGGATTTTTGAGTTAATATTACTATGAGCTTCCCGACTCTGAAATTTTTTAAAACCAAAGATCTACTACGCTGATAGGTATCTATCATTTCTTAATCATCCGCAGGTTATTATATCCAGACAATAAGTGTGCTTTAAATTTTCTTTTTATGACCCTGGTTTTCTATTGCCAATTAGCTGCTTTCTGCAGCTCAGGATTATATTTCCACAGTATCTCCTAATTGACCTTCTTTTTTTAATCCCTGATAACTTGTTAACATTTTAAGATTCGATTTTTTCTGTTACAGATGAATATGACAAATCACCTAATGAAGTAGTGAAAAATGAAGAGCTAACCTTTAACACCAGCGCTTCACCAAGATTATCAGTATTTTGTATATCTTTTATCCTAGCTTGCCTGGTTCTCCGATAGACTTTGTAAAATTTTGTATATAGGCTCAGCCGCTCATTCAACATGTTTTGAAGTAAATTTTTGTATAAAAAATTGAAGGAAAAGACTAAATAGAAATTAATTTTTGTTATTACTGAAAACAAATGAATTCGGGATTTTGATATGCAGGCAAAATTGGAAACTGAATCTAGACATGAAAGTAATCAGGGTATCCACCGATTCAAAATATCTCTCTAATTTTAGGATAGTCTAGAATCAAATGTTTTTGAATTTTTAGAAAAATGATAACACTGCTGATAATGGCTGCTTATAGACACGAAGAGAGTTTCATAGCTGCCCTATTATACTTTTTGTATGATTATTAGTTCTGGGAAAAAATGGCTTTGTTTTTTGTGTAAAATTGAATCATATAAAGAGTGAAATTCATCGTCAAACTTTGAACCATAATTTTGGCCCCATATTTAAAAAAAAAACCATAAACAATGTATTCCCTCAGCCAATATATCATCCAAGAAGGAAGTGGTCCTAATTTATCATGTGATGAGAGGGATTTAAGTTGGTAGGGAATGAAATTCTCAACCTTCCTAGATTTTGTTCTTCCGTTTTGCCTGTTCGTCGTTACCCTTTTGAGCAAGTTCCTCTGCGGGGACCCCACCAAGAAATGGCAGAAGTGCCATATGAAATTTAATCTGTCATGATTTAATTATGAGTATTTCGACTTCGGATTTCATGCGATGTAAATGAGCTTATTTTTTACTATCTGCATCGGAATACTTTCATTAGGCAGTCCAAACTGAGATTGATTAAATCAGTTGCATTAGTACTTCCGTGTCAAAGGAGAGTGCCATTTGAGCCTTCGGACGTTGCCAACTTCTCTTTGATATAACATAAATCTCCGAGAAAATTTGCAAATGTATTTTCTTCAATTTTCTAGAGAAACTTGTTTGTAATTTGATGTGAAATGTCGAAAATTTCAAAATTTTCGTTGCTTTCCTCAAAAATAAATATTTCATTTGCGGAAATTTGGTAACATGCAAATGCTCACACAGCATTTTTTCTTGGCACGGCAGAGCAGCTGCATTATATCTCTAGAAGGCAAGTGAGCTACAGTCAATGTTTCCAATATATTGGCCGAAGGCTAATCTGTATTTTTTCTTTACGATAGCTGATTTTATTGAATCAGAGAAATGAAACATTACGATTTTTATCTTTAAAATGTTCAATGAAGACATTTTTTCCCTTTATTTCTTCAATATCAATCAGTATTCTACATTTTTACTGCCCTTTGTTACTGCTTTTTCACAATTTATGTTTTATTTAACTGAAACTTTATCAGTCCGAGCTTGATCAAAGGCTCAGTTAGTTCTTTTGACTGTCCAAAAAGGTATTATTTTTATCTTCGTAGGTACTTTATTTCTGTGATTTTGTCATGTCTATTTTTCAATGATGTTCAACAATTCTGGAAAATTTGACTAAAGCGAATGTGTACAAGAAACGTCCATCATGTGCCGTCTTTTGGCGAAATCAGCTGATTTTGTGAATTTTTTGCATCATAAGTACTTTGCATTTTCATGTAAAATTGTAACATGAATCAGTTGACTAAAAACTTAACTACTTCACACAGAATTCAGCTATCAAATGGCATGGGCTTCATGCCTCTGTACAATTGATTACTCTTTAATAACATGGTAATTAATAGTTAAAATCAAGAGAGAAATGACATGGTGATCTCTTCTGCCAATTTTGATCGTTTTATTCAGCTTTAAGCAAATACATATTGCTGAATATCAATTTTCCAGGTTGTTTCAGGTGAATAGCTACCCAGGGGTGCTGAAAATTTTTTCCTCTGCTTTTTTGTCGGGTCTCAAGAAAAAACATTCAAATTCTGGGACCCTAAGAAATTGGAAAATAGTTCTATAATGTTAAGAAAATTCATAGTAATGTTCAAAATTAAAAGAATAATAGTGACTTTCTAATTTACTCCTTAAGACCAAAACAGAGGCCAAGTTGTCTCTATGAGAGGGACTGGCAATTTTGAAATCTGCGTTATCACATTTTCTGCATCCTTGGGTTTCTGTCTCATCATACAGACTGATTATAATTAGATTGACTTTAATTGTCATCTAGTTGTAAATGTGAAACATCTGTCCTCTCATCAGGAATATGTGTTAAAAGTTACTTGCCTTCAGTTTTACCAATGAAATAATCCAAAAAGGTGAAAAAACAAGTTGGTCTGGATGTACATAATCGTGTAAATGGCAAATTTTTGTACGTATGTAACTTTTTGTAAAAAGCTCTGTATCAAATAGTTTTTGTGTAGAAAGTAGCTGAAGAAATTACATTCTAAATCGGACTGTATCATACGAATATTTTTGTCTAGTCTAATTTTTTAAGTATCAATTTTATTTATTGACTTATCTGCCCTTTCTTTTACTTCCATTGCTAAATGAACTTATTTTTGCGCTATTCAGCTGTATCAACAAATGAACGGAAAATGTTAGAATTGATATTTCAATTTTTTTCTAGTTTCTTTTAATTTTACTCTCCATAATGTTGAAACAGGGAATGAACTTCCATGCTGAATTTACAGCACAACGTTTATATTCATGGTGCATAGAATTCATAGTCGCAGCTTTGATGACAAGGTAACTTTGATGGTTCACTGATCCATTTTTAAAATTCAATTTTTTTCTCAAGTGCTGTTTTGAAGTAAAAGATTAAATAGTCCAAGTTCAAATCATTCAATTTATAATTTATGTGTCTCCTAATTGATACAGCTTAATAGCAATCTTTTTTTACTTGAAATGCATTTAGTTTATTTACTTATTTTAAATTTTTTTGCTGTTATACCAAATCATTTAGATGTATTTAATCTCAAAGTGTTTGCCAATCGCCACAGAGCCCCTAATCCATGGGGTATTTGAAGAGTTCAACTCATTTCTTTCGAAACCCAAGATTTATACAAGTTTTAACACTTCTTCTCTTTCAATTATTTTTACTCGTTCCTGTTTTGATGATTTTAACAATTTACTTTGAATCTGTGTGTTTTAAAACACCGAAAATTTTGTTAAATGCAAGAAAAGATATTTAATGTTCTTCAGTCTTTGTATCTTCTATTTGAATTACGTCTTATTTTCTTGGAGAGCGACATTTTGAAATATCCTAGGCGATACCCCACTTTCTTCACAATTAAAGAACAAACTTGAAAAGTATTTGTTAATTAAGGTGCAATGATCAATTTTAACTTCTTCTCTTGCTCAAAGCGTAAATGCAATCTTTCGCCAAAAGTGTGATAGGAAGCACATCAAAGATTCAAAAGATGAACTTCAGACTTTCTGTCCCCTCATATTTCTTCTTTTTTGTTTGTGTCTAGCTAGCTCTTATTTTTCCCTATAATTTGTATTTTTCCCTGTCATATTTTCATGATTTTCTGCTCAAAAATGAAGCATAAAGACATAATTTCTCGTATTTTTTCCCATAATGTTATTTCATGAGAAATCTGTTCGAACAATGGACTATAAATTTTTGTTTTCTGCTCTTGATAGACCTCTTTCAGCTTACTATGGAACTCTAGTAGCACATTTATCAGTATTTATCATTCAGAGATTCTGTTGGATGAGCTAGCATTTAAACTCTTATAAGGTTGCAAGCAGAACTGTTTGAACGGTTTTGTATCAATGCTACAAAAGGCGTTGAACGGTTGATGGTAGATCAATCAAGAGTTTAATATTTGTTTAAGAGTTTAACAAAGTTCGTAAAACATTGTTCCTTGTTATAGGTCAGTCTGTTTACTTACTATGTATTTCTGAATTCTCTTTTTCATAATCCTTTCTTAATTATCTGACTCTGATTTATTTATTTTAAGAGAAGAGTACGTTTCGAACTTGAAAAGTTCAAATTTTCATTTGTCTTGAATAAACAAAAGTCACTCACGTTTTTAGTCCTTGTTTTACAAAGTAGTTTTATGACTGTCATTAATTAATGATCCAATTTCTCTTTTGAAATCCTCAGTCTTCGCACTCTTAGTTTTTTTCAATTTGGCAAGTTTTTAGGAGAATATTTCTTAGCCAGACTTGAACCGCAATCAGTCCCCCACCTTGTACCCCCCTGAGTGCTGTTAATGGAATTGATCCAAACGGAAAGGAACCAAACCTCATGTTCAAAGAAATCTAACTATGAACTATTTTGAACAACACTGCTCCAAAATCGTTTTGTGTCAAAACATAAATTGTAAAACGCAAAATTTGGCTCTGTGATTTTGAGTAAAGAAGTGAGTTTATGATGGAGTTTCCTGGGATTTTCCGCTGAATCCTGAGTGACCTAGCTGTTCTCAGCCTGACTCAATCTGTTCTAAACCTTAGGAAGTTGCCTTTGAAAGTTAGTAATTTATCAATTATGAGCAAACGTTCAATACTCCAAATCCCAATCTTTACAAGAAGAGTAGCTGTAATAATTCTCAGTTCTATAATTTGAAAAGTAATTTTAGTTTACTTTTTTTTTTTGTAATCAATATTTACTTGTTTAATTTTTTTCGTCTACAATTTTTTTCTCTTGCTTTCACAGTATTAATCACTTATTTTAATCAGCAGTCTAAACCGCATCAAGTGCCATAACAGACTGCAATGTTTTAATTTTATAGTTAACCATTTTTTTCATCCTCTCTTCCTCATGGGATTCTCGTTTTTCTATAAGTGCTGTTTGATTGTGAGGCTCTTAGCTCTCAAGTAATACTCACAACTCTGTAGAACTGATAAATTGGCCGCCAGCTTTGTTTCTCCAACATATATTTTAAGCTCTCATAAGTCATAAGTTCTGTTCCACTTTTAATATCCAGCTGTAAGTAATTTTTGTCGGTAAAATTGACTATCAAAGAAAAATGGTCTTATGCCCAATTTTTAGTGAAATTGAGGGTCATTAAAGAGCAAAAAAATGGTCTTAGGCCCAGTATTCCAGGAAATCTTCGTTTTCTATGACAGTTTTATTTACAACTCCTACAAACAGTATTGAGCGACTCATAACTTTCTGAACTATTTTAATCGCTCCGGACTGTGATCTTATGAAGGAAAAAATATATTATTTTCAGGAAAGTGCAACTTTTAGGGGGTATTTCAATGACGAAAATTCTCAAAGCTTCTCAGTCCAAAAGATTCTCGAGCTGTGTTTACTTTTACTGTTTTGTCTCTTTCTTTACTTTTTATTAATTTAGTGTTCCAGTAAGCAGTTTTTATTTTTAAGGTGGAAAGTACCACGCAGAAAATACTAAGAATTTTGAGGCTGGCTGTATTTCAAGATTATTTTATATGATGTTCCTCATGATCTTCTGAGTAAGGAGATTTTAAAATCGAACTTTCCCTGTACCAAACTCATTGGATTCAGATTTGGAAATTGCAATTTTGGTAGTTCTACTTGCATTATCAATTGGGGAAAAGTAGTTGATTGAGAAGCCAGCTCCCCTCTCCTTGTCTCGCGCTGACAAGGGAGATAGACGGTGCAAAAACTCAGTTCAAAACATAAGGCTCTAAATCATTAACCTAGGAATGGTGCCGCCAGCTCCTTATGATAGCACGTATTTAATTTCCAAAAAATGCAACATGCTCTTTCTAGACTTAATTTTCTTGAGATTGGTACATATAAAGTTTGATTTTAAAAACTCATCTTATTAAGGAGATTGTGAGGAATATCATTTAAGAATATCACAAAATATAGCCGGCGTTAAATTGCGTCAAATTCTATCCGCAGTCCTTTTGAATGCCAATTTTTCCCTCCAAAATCAGAATAGATTTATGAAATTATGAAAAAAAAAAAAAATGAACAAGTATATGGTAAAAACGGAATAACATGAATGTATAAAAAACCAACGAGTAAATGAAAAATTAGAAAACTTTGAAATGCTCACAGCTTACTTAAATCTTAAGCCCTCTGAAAACTGTGATAAAATTTCAAAGAGGTACGTTCCCTAACAATAAAAAAAGCTCTTTAAGATGAAAAAACTCTTCTTGCAAAAACTACTGCAGAATTTCCGTCGAAATGGTTTAGTATTAATACCTCCCTCCTAGTTTTTGCACGTTTTAGTAGGTATTGCAACAAGTAGTTTAAGATTGAAAATATTGTAAAATGTCTCTGTACATATTTTGTTATACATACTTTGTATATACTACACGTAATTTATCTATTGTTAAAATTTCAATTTATAGGCTGATTTGACCACGATTTTTATGGAAAGTGCAAAGTGTCACTTTTTTTTATTTATTTATAATGTACATAAACTGGAGTTTTGAATAAAACTATCCTGTATACATTTCCTGCTTTTTATTTTCTTCCCCATCACAATCCAAAACTTCTTGGGTATAATGTAATTTGTGGAGATCCATGTCTTGAGAAAATTACATTTCAAATATGAGAAGCCTTCATAAATACTTTACTGCTTTTGCAACACATGGGTCATTTTTCAGTTAAAAACTGTCAAGTATTTAGTGCCATAGAGTGTCTAGCGTAATCGACATGAAACCGCAGACTTGCGTTATTAGTTTGGATCATTGCAGAGGTCATGAACCAAGTGATCAGGTGAAAAATCGATAAGGAGTATCATAAATATGTTTTTAAAATTGTGCAACAGGTGGCAGCAGTAATATGAACTTCTTACAATGAAACAGAAGGAGAGCCATCAAGAGATTATAACACAATATGATGTTTCAAAGATCACCCGAATTTATCTTTTTGAGTCGCCTTCTATTTTCAACTCTCCCTCAAATTTTTCGAAGTAAACATTTCTTTTGAATGTACATTTGAGTTCCACATAAAACTGTAAGGCTCATTTGCATGGGCAGAGGAAATGTCATTACAGACTGATATAAAAGCTTCTCTGGTTGTAATGACTTCCAGAGAGAACTATTGTGAAACTGTTGTTTTTGACCATGACGCATGCATCTCATTATTCGCCGATTGTGAGATCCCATGAACTCGTAAAGCATTTCAGAGCAAAAAATTGGACTCAGTGCATCATTTCCATGGGGACCAGCTGCATTTCAGCTCGATCGGCAAACTTTCGATTTTGGCCCTAAAAAGTTGGTCCATGTAACCCCTGTCGATTTTTCTCGATTTTGGACGGGAAACAATTTTTTTAGATGGGACTCAATTCCCTTGTAGTTCAAGGTGTAGAATCGATTGCGTATGGTCCTGATCCTTCCTGCAGCCTTCTAAGCGAAAAAATGGGTGTTTTGTCTAAGACGGTGAAACCTAGAAACAGGTCTAAAGGTGAAGGAGCTAAATGATGTAAAGCGTACAGCTCGAAACAAAATAATTTTATTAATAAAACATAAAAAGTTAATTTATAAACAAATAAGGAGGAATACCAGAGGGGAGAAGGGCAAAGATCGTAGACTTACCAACCTAATTTCTTACAGAATAAATTGAAAATAGAGTTGTTTCACAAAAAATAAGTTAAAATATCATTAAAAGTACCTAAAGAAATAATATTTTCGCAATAATTGCGATCATTAATGCATTTCATACGCCTTTAAACTAAATACATTGAAATAGGTTCGACCTATTGAGATACCTCCTTCCAAAGGGGAATAAAAGGGGAAAATTACCTATGAGAGAAAAACATCAGGAAAGTAAAGAGAAGCGTGGATAAACTTGACCCTCCATGATTTCTTGGATTGCATCATATTCTTTGATGAGGAGACTGGAGAATTCTCTGAGGGCAAACCAGTGTAGTAGCTTTTTTAAAATTTGCTCAGCTGAAAGCGCAATGTACACAGCCAAATTAATCCTGTATGCTGCTAAAAACATATGTACCCATTTGAGAAGCTGTGCTTTTTCCAAAAAGTTTGATACAAAATCCGATTCATTCTTACTTCCTCAGTTTTTTGTTTAATTCGAAATGACAGACGTATTGTGTCTAGAAGGAAAAATTTTGTCAAAAGGAAAACAAAGTAGTTGGACAAAAAAAAATTTCTGCAGTAATGATTTGAAAGATAGTTTGATTATTTATTCCTATCTTATTCAGACACCATGATCAAATGTTAGTTTCATGATTTTTTAATTTTTCAAGGAATCAGCTTGAATTCTCATTTTTGCTGGACTACATATTGAGGGTTTTAATTCAAGCACCTGCAGTTTATTGGCAAATGACCATCTAAATGATGTAAAATAATTAAAATTTATTGAGGCGTTGCTTAGAATCGAGTTTCATCTTTGATAGAGGGAAAACCTAGTCACAGAATTGAAAGAATCGCCACATTTCCGATTTGCTTCTCCTGGCATCAGATATTAATTTAGCTATGCTATTAAATTACCACTGGTCAAATTTATCCACCTCTGAGGCAAAATTTAAAACAAATCATGAATATTAGTGCACTAAAAAGTAGATTACGGACCAAACCAAAACACAAAACTGATTGAATGAATTTCTTTGTTCAAAACATTTTCGTGTTGTAAAAGGCATATCTCTACTACACGAAAAGTTTTTTAACACCTTGAAGAATATTCAAATAATACTTTCCCAGTATTTGACAAATTGAAAAAAAACAATTTAAAAAGGGAGAAAGAAATTAAATAGCAACAGAGAACAGTAAATAAACAAATTATTTATGTACTTTAGTCTAAACGAAGGATGTCGAATGTACAGATTAAGGTTACACACCATAATTTGAGACCTCACGTCGTAAATCATTAAACACAATAATTTTTTTTCGACCTCTCCTCGTTCAATTTATTGTACCTATTCATATGCTGTGTAATGTATAAATATGTACAGACATTTCTTTCAAAATGTATCGTAGAACAAGTAAAATATTACATTATTGCAACACTACTTATTAGCATGGCTTATGCTATGGTAAAAAAGAAAGAAGGAAAAGAAAAGAATTTCTACATAAATAGAATAGATTTTAGTTATTTGTAATAAAATTGTTCCTCAAGAAAACGGGGCACATGTAATGATATGTATCGTAGATTCGCTAAGCTTATAAAGAGAGAGAGGCAAAAATATTTCAATAAACTTTGCACAAAATATTGAACGGCATTGGGAAATCTGAAGAATTCATAAAGCTGCCAATGAAAATAAAGAATTATCTACAAAGTCTTTGACAGCAACCGAATAGACACCGCATTCACAAAATATCTGAGTGAATGGACCACTGAACAGGGAAGAAATTAAGCCTTACAGTCCATGTTTTCTCATCAAAGTTTCATGCAAAACAAATTTACCTCATTGAAAACTTTCAAAATCAACTCGTAAATGAGAAACAAACGTTCATAGCTTACACTGTAAGCAATAAATTCAAACTTTCCACTTGCAAAAAAACCATTATCAGCATAAGTCAAATTAGTCACTGAAATCAACATATACGTTAGACAAATAACTACATCATGGTTCCACACACAAATCTGATTCTGATTCAAATCTGATCTATTCCGATGGAATTTAGTGCGAAGGATAACTATCCCATCATAAAAAAAAAACAGAAATTACTTCTGTAGGTACCCAATTCGATGAGAGAAGACTCCAGTTTTTCTGTGAGCGGAAAGTGTGAGTTAACGAAGATCGAACCCATTATTTTCTAACTTATGATGTAATTTGGAAAGTCTTAATGCATTCATTGTATTCAACACAAAATTTGGATTGAGCAACATATATTGTGGTTTTTGACTTCTAGTGGCCCATTCATCTTCCTTACAAAACATACACATACATCATAAACACTTTTTAACTAAATTGGAATGTATATTGTAAAAGCTAAATCACATTTCAACATGAAAATGCATACTCGTGATTCTCGGCATAATATTCAAAGACTAGTTTAAACTAGCTTTATGTAATTTCTTATATTTTCCCGAATAATTTTTAATTTGCGGTTCAAATATTTTGAACATTAAGTGTCAATATGAAAAGTTTCAAATATAATTTATCAAATGATTTAGACAGAATATAAAAAAGTGAGCTGTAAAATTTAAATGTATCACATTTCCATAATAATTGGATGTAAATTCAGGCGCTTTTTTTTTCCAGTAATTGACAAAAATGAAATTCAAAATTGAAAGAAAAAACAAGTTCAGGCAAATGGTACAGTTTTAAGAGAAGAAACAATCGACTCTATGTGTTGGAGGACTTTCATGTAAATGTGTTGTTCCATGTGATGTCCATTTTTTTTTCTATTCTTCCGTATCAAAATTTTGATATTGAATAAACTTTTGACTGATTTAAAGGGTAATATTAAAACTAGTGATTAAAAATTGTATGAGCCAGGCTGTCTGATGCCTTTTTACAGGGCTATCTAAAATAGTTTTGTATAAAAAGTGCATCAAAAAGTGATTTTCATTCTTTCAGACCGGTTTCTTTACAAAACAAGCCCATTTCGAAAAATTTTAAGCGGATGCTTAGATTTTGGGGATAGCGCTAATTCAGCTTTAAATACAATCACTGAAGATCCAAACAGTAGATTGAAGTCATAATTTTGAAATTTCCATTCTTAATTAATCAGCTCTTGAGACAAATTCTCACGCCGAGTAGAATATCAACAAATTAAAATCATACATGCGTTTCAATGTATTAATCAATAATACAGCTAAGTAAAAGAAAAGAAAAAAAGTTTTAGAATATCCTCAGAAAACAGTATGTTCAATAGCTGCATTCAGTAAACACTCTTCTACATCAAATAAAACTCTGTACAAACTGGGCTTACTAACTGGTAACACAATGTACCTCTCACGTACAAATTAACGACAACAAACTAAGGCAAGAAGTAGGGAAAAATTTACATCAAGACAGACACAAATAAACGTGGATTTTGCTCTGAGAGGAGGAATCATGATGATGCATCCAAAAAGTAAAATTGGAAAAAGGAATGGTGCTGCTGGAGGGATTTTTGAATACTCCATCCTGTCATTACTCTCTAGAGCATCTTCATACTTGGAGAGACATTTTCCATTATCTCTGGGGAGCTAAAAAGCAAAACCATTTACACACCTCCATAATATTCAACCATTCTATAATTTAATCTCACTTAAAAATATCAAAACTTAGATGAATTAGTTAGCAAACTAAGTCATCAGAAATTTTGCAATGCGCAACATTTACAAACATTTTACACTCATAAAGCGGCACACTTAATGATGAAAATAGAATCAAGGTTCATTTTACTTGATGGCGCTCACTTAAAAATAATCAATTTTTCAAGACATGAAATTTACAGGTTTAAGTATTGAACAAAATATCTACGCCAGAATTAGTAATAAGTACCCACATACGTCAATATCTTCACAAGAACGAATTATTTTTTATTTTGAATAATGATTATGAAAAATGTGAAAATAAAAAAACAATTTGGAAAACAAATGTCTTCATACAGGGAACGTTAAGGAATGATTTTTGAAAATAAAAGTGGTTAACAAACCCTCATGAGATCACAAAACTAAAGATCTAACTTTCAATGAAATTGGAGGCCCATAAAAATACCATTTGGTCTTACTTTTTAAAATTCATGTTGATGATTCCTAAATCCGCAATGTCTCTGTTGCTGATCTGTGAGCACTGAAGTTGAAACAAATGATTCTTTCAACAAAAGCATGACTGAGGAGGAGTATGCATGAAACGAAATTATGAAAATGAACAGCGGATGTTAAAAAAAAAAAAAAAAAAAAATCTTTGAAAAGAAGCGCGGTAGAACCAACAAGTCACACATTTTTATCAGATACAAACGTTAGGTAATTTAGCATTTTTAAAAACATCCAAAAGTGACCGGAGCCCTTTAAAATGATGATTATCAATTAATTACTGAGTGAAACAGATTTATTGACTCTTGGAGGAATGTAGTTGTTTTTACTCAAAATTAGAGAATGAAATTTTCGAGCCCAAATCGTAAAAAATATCACAGTGACTAACGGAAACTAGAAAGCTCTCATGCTTTATGCAAGGTGGAAGGGAGCAGTTTGTCAGTACCTTAAAATTCATAAATAAAGTACCAACAGTCAGCATTTTCACCTCCCAACAAGATCATTCTATCGATTTTAAACATTTTAGTGATATACATTTTTCTAAAACACTTCAATTCTGAACACTCAAGCGGATACTGAAATCATAAAGCAAGAGATCAACAATTAGCTGCGGAATCATGTGTTAGCTATGTGAGCGATACTGAAAAATTTCAATCCGTTATGATTTCCCACATAAAGGCAAGAGCTTTTACCTACTTTCTTTCTAGCAGCTATTATCATTTCCTACCAGGAGAGAGAGGCTGTGACAAGCCTTGATATTTTATCAATTTTAGCATCAGATAGTAGAAATGTCTCAAAATGTGCCCTAATGAGGAACAAGGGCCATTCACTATCCTAAAAAAACTTGTGAGTGGTGACCGCTGTTTATCAGCAACGTAACTCAAGGAATCCACAACTTATCTCTTCTCATGGGCAATGATGTAATGTAGGTACATTTTGTGGGACTTTTAGGATTGGAGGTTTACAACACTTTGAAGGCTCTACTTCTCAAGGAAGAAAAAAAAATATCACAAAAAAATACGAACAGAAAATTAAATATTAGTACAAACTGAGGGAATGGATCCGTATGCAATACATTGTATTACTGATTACCTACCTAAATATTTAACAAAGACAAAAAAGAAACGGATAAATTAACAACGAAGGTTTAGGATTACGATCATTATGATACAGAAATGGTTGAACTGCCTAAAATGGGTATAGACGCTATCTAAGGTTAAAATGAATGGACGGATTTAGGAAGAGATAAATATCAAAATCGATGAACAGGTATTTTCAAAGGTAGCTTTTACTGTTAAAACTTGAGTCTCGTTTCACACCATACAAATGGCTACCTGTGAACTCAAGGACTGCTCACATGAATGATTGTCATCTGCGATCTGCTCTGAGAAACGTCTTGGGGTGAGCTTGCACAAGGGGTTTTTTCAAGATACGACAGCGAAAAAAGGACTAAAATTTAAAGAATCCAGTTGCAATGAAATTGGTAGGTCATTGCAATTTTATCAACGGTTATTCATTCCAATATTGTCAGAACCAAGAATTACGATTGAAAGCAATTTAATGTGATGAAATTGTTATGTTATCAATGCTGATTTTCCGTGATACCTACAATTGATGAATAAATCGCCGAAAAACACAAAATAAATTGAGATAAAATTGAGTGAAATTTCTATAAAAGTGTAGATGATCCTAGTGATTTTATCGCAATGAAGTGGCAATCAAAGGGCAACATTACTTCAATAAATCAAGACCTCTTCATTAAAAAAAAAGTTTCATTAAAATTGCAATTTTTAAAGTGGTCATACCCTTTGATACTAGGTGCAAAGATAATCTGCAAAAATTACACTGATGGATTGATTATTTGATAATAAAGAACAGAGAATTTTACAAGATCATTTTTTCAATCAGGTCATTGAAACTTTATCGCAATTCCTTGTTTAAAAATTATCATGGGAACATATTTTGTGGTTCATCAGCATTCTTTGGGACCAAGGAATAGGAAAAATTCACACCTATTGTAAAAATATTACAGGGTTCAAGAGATGTGCTAAGATGGCAATTTTTATAGAAAGATCCAAAGAAGAAGGAAAAGCGGTATTTCGATACTTATCTCTTCAATTAAACGATACAAAATTAATGATTATGAATTCCTGTTTGCAAAACGCAAAAAGATTAGATTAATTTTCTCGAAGGTGAGTTGCTGAAAATAGGCGCTGTTCAGTTCCAATTCGGCAGAATCCTCATTCCTACAATGTGAACATACATAATCCAGCGAGTAGAGTATGTTGAAAAATATACCATTCGCAAATAGGCAGATAGAATACATTGGAACAAATTTTATGCATTTCTCAATTGACTCAGTTGATTGTAAAAATGAGTGCACTTGAATGTATTTCGCACACTTATTGCTGCATTACAGGGAGAGATCGATGAGGAAACAGTAGCAAGATTAGGAATTCAAATCATTAATCAGTATGAATCTAAAATTCAAGGATATTCTTAAATATTCCCACACAAGTAATGTTTCATACTTGCAATACCAATTAACTACTTACACGTTAATTAATTATGTCTAAAATTTTAGCTATACACAACAAAATGATGACATTAAGACTGAAGCTGAATGGTTAAAGTAGTGGGAAAGAAATTCTCATTCGTATGCTTGTAAAAGCTCATTGGATACTAGATCTAATCTTCCGTCATCAACACTTCATAAGAGTCAAACTGTTAATTTCCCCATTCTTCAGATACTGGATCAGAAAATTCCACCGGGATCATGAGTAGGATCCTGGAGGAAAATGAAGGAAGGCAGGGAGGGTTTTTGTTTAGGAGTGGGACAGTTATCCTCTTTCAGGAATTTCAGATCAATATTTTGTGATGAAACAGAAGACTATGAGCTTCTTGGCCACTGATCTATTTCATTGAGGAATCATCTAGTTAAAAAAGAGTATGATCGGGACCAAATTTTAAACATTATATGGATGCGTATGATTTCTTCCAAATTATAAGGTACAGAGTAAAGAAACCGAACAGGTTTCTACGAACATATTTTAAAAAGGGAAAGAAAGTCCCTTGTGATGTTTCAAAACTTTAAAAAAATTAGACACTTTCTGGCTGCCGCACATCATCCAAACGACTTAATTGTAATTCATGTGAAAGTGGGCCAGAGTCCGAGGCAAATCTACCCTTTTTAAATCTTGAAACGTTATAAGTGAAATTATTTCACTTGCAATCCTACATGCTCTGACTCTAGCAAGAGCTAAAAAGTGTGCAGTGAAAATTATTATGTCTCTCAATTCACTGTTGTGACTGAAATTCCTAAATTCAATTTAAAAAAAAATAATTGAATTTTTATAAAACTGAAAAGGAATGAGGAAACTGACGAGTTTGACTTTATAAAACCACCAACATTTTTGGAGCCTGCCAAGAGATCGCTTGAAACTTTTCGGGTAGAATTCCCAGTTGAAATATTTTAAGAGACGGGTTATCAGCCTTTGATTAAAATCAGTAGAAAATATTGTTAACAATATAGTAACACATATTTAGCTAAAAAAAGAAAAAAAACAAGAGAATATACACAAATATTTACAATGCCAAGCCAAGCTAATTAGAGATAATGAATAGACGGGCTTATACAGAGTTCAGTTTTTACACCAAGCCTAAATAAACGGATTAAAACTACATGGTTACGGAAAAAAACTGGTAGACAAGAAACCAATTGAAAAATGTGTAGAAGTTTAGTTGAGCTCGAGATGTATTTTGTATCTTCAAAAAAGAACTTGAGTGAATAATCGACAATTAATTACACTATGTTAAAATTCTGAATCAAAAGTGGATACAAATCACATGATGAGCTCACAATCAGTCAGACCGAATGCGTCACAGAATTAAGCTAAGCCTACCACGATAAACATATACATAATAATACTATTTCTTAAAATTTTAGATAGATCTTTTAACGGTTTACAATAATGTACAAATTACACAGCATGAATGAAGGTAATAAATCAATAGCTCATACGTTACATAATTAATCTACTCTTATTTACTTAAAAGAAATCCAATAACTCAACAAATTTCCTTGAATCAACAAATTAAAAGCACTTTATGGCTTTGATATGATTTGATATGATATGTTACTCCGGAATAATTCCATAGGCTTGAAAGGGAGGATTCCCTTACAAAAAAAAGTCACATGAGTATTAACTTGTTTTTTTCTTCTTTTTTTTTTTCATCTGTTAAACCGATCCTTATCAACGCTTAACTATATTACTGCGGTTAGATAATTGAGAAAGATCTAAGAATGTAATATTGCTTACTTGCTTTCGAAGGAGAGGAAAATTGGGTGATTCGAGCTTGGGGGAAAATTCAAACGGAGGAAATGAATAAAATAAAAAAATAAGTTATCGACAGTAAGTTATAAAAAAATAAATTACTGAAATTACAAGAATTATGCAAGAATAAGAATGACTAGCATTATGAACTAAAAAATTAATAAGTGGGTTAAACTAATACATTAATACATTAAAAAAATAGGACTAAAAATTGTTTAGTAACTTTTCTAGGGTTTATCTTTGAGGACATATTGGTATCAGAAAGTAATACTATCTTTGGTTTATGATGACAAATTTTCTCAGCAGCTCTAAGGGTAATTGTACGAGGGGTAGGAAAAATTATACTGAATGTTAAGACTCTCTGGTAAGTAAAGATTTTTAAGGATGAATGTAAAATTTAACAAAAAAAGGCCACAGCTTCATCCGAGATTTTTGTGGCTGTAGTAAAACAAATAAGCATAACACAAGCAGATAAATTATAAACTTTAAAAACCGGGCATGATGAATATCATTAGAGCACAGGTACTATCCAGGACTTACACCGTTCGGTTATTGTGGATGACTAAGCCTGGCTTGTAACCAAGCTATATGGTTTTGGATAACCAAGCCTTCATATTGTTATTTACTAGTTTCATTTTCATACCCTTTTTTCATCCATCCTCCTTGAACTTTAAGACTTTTCGATGAGTCGCATCTTCGAAACCTGACTAGTTTTGCAATTTCTGAAAAAATTACCATTCTCCATTATTTTGCTTCATCCGAATCTTTTTTTTAAAAAAATGTTCCTTCTAATTCTGTGTGTGATGGATCAAAAATTATAAAAAACACGGTGGCAACAAGGGCCCTCTGTAGAGGCGTTTTCAATTTCTGGTGATAGAAACTTAGCGGTCTAAGGCACATTCATGACATTTTTGTTCCAAATCAGCTAAAAAAGTATTTTAACAAGGTATTGATTACATATAAGTTTGTTTAGCGAAGCATTCAAGCACAATTTAACAATATTTCAGATTTCCAACGACTCACCATCCCTTTTTTATAAAACGTTTTCCTGGCCAGAGCTTCTTTACCGACAGTTTTCATCAGGCTTTCAACATAAAGTAAGTTGCCCAAAATATTTTTCTCCCCAAAAGCATGTAGTTTTATGAAGTTTAATTGCTCCTTTTACGCAATGTAGGTGATGCGGAATTAATCGTGCTTCCCATGAGAATGTTACTTCAAACTTGAATGCCCCAAGGTGCCTGCGCAACTTAAGATTTTTCTTTTCAAAACTTCAGTACACTTGTTTCAGCTGATTTATGAGTTCAGTTAAAAAGTCAAAGAAGGATAAATGTCTTTCATTGTGTTGCATACATTTTGTAACTCTTCTATCAATCAAAAAGTAAGAGATAAAAATAGCTGGAGTATAAAATATCATCCCTTCCCACCGATAATTTTTCTTTTCTTTCTTTTAGAAAAAAAGTTGACAGAAAACGCACACTCTTTCAGTTGAAAGGAACATAACAACATACAATTAATTTGCCAAGCATCAAGAGATGGACATGATTTCTACCACAATCTTTGTGTAGAAACACTTTTGAACTTGACAATCTATGATGATCTTCGGTTTCTGTCCTTCACAATTTGAGCATTTTACATCGTACAAAAGAAAATATAATTTTCAGATAAATTCACATGTGATGTTGAACATGCACAAAATAAAAACATAGAAAATAAAACACAGTATTTAAAACATGAATCTTGTACACTGGCTGCACGTTCTGCAGGGGTAAATAATTTCATCAATTATGATGCATTTTTATTTTTGTGTAGTTTAAGGAGTGACTTCCATCGCCAAACTATTAATTAGGAGTTTTGAAAACTTGTCCAGTGTTCTGAGGCGCCCATGACGGATAACCCGAAGAAATAAAATTTTAGTATAAATAAAGTACAGCTCAAAATGAATCAGATAAATACGATAAATGAATGTTGGAGATTCATAGGTTTAAGTAATGGTGTGGGATTTTGAAGGGGAGGATTGTACGACTGCGCTTCAATGAAAAAAGAAAAAAAATTAAGTTCAATAACAAGTTCATGTAAAAATTAAACTAAAACTATTCGTAAGTTTTAGTCAAGTATTTAAAAATGTGATCCCTTCTTCAGAAAACGAAATATACAAACTGCAATTTTATAAACATCACTCAAATGATTTGTATGATATAGAACAAATCTCCCAGCTTTAACAAGCAACATGGATAACGAGATGGGTATTGTGTCAAGTAGAGTTTATCTGAGAGTGCGCAAGTGTGTAGTGATTAAGATTGTCCAGTTTCTTCGTTCCTGATTGTTCCCTGAAAAAAATATGAAATTTTTGTTAGCAAATAAAACTGACGGATGTGATTAAGAAACAAATATAAAACCTTCAGAATGCAACTAAGGTAATAAAGCTTTCAAATTTCAAAATTCATTCCACAACATTTTTTTCGGACGAATGTAAATTAAATGTGAACTGAGACCTTGAAAATTAACAGGACATAGACTGAGTTTTTTTCCTTTTCTTCTCTATTTGTGAGTGCCAGAATGTTAGAACATTGTGTTGACACTATTAGAATGTTCAAAAATTTTAGTTGAAGGCACAAATTTTTAGAAATTTAGAAATCTCCCTAAAGAAATGTCCATTGAAATGGTGGGTTTCAATCCGGCAAGCGGTTTTGTGGAGTTGGAGAGGCTGCCAAAACGATGTCACACCATTATTTATACCACATTAAAAAAAATTGCGTTGTGAAGTAAAAACCCTTTTACTGGGCATCTTTGTTCTTATTAACTCTAAATACTATTCATCTTTCATAATCTAAATATTGAACGTTGAAACTGAGAGACATCATTTTATCAACGTTCAAGTAGCTTCAATTGTATTCCCATTGAAATGAAATGCTATCAGTTTTTAGTTGTGCTTTCACTTAATGAGAGAATTAAACTGAAGAACACCGACACCTAATCAAAATTTGCCTTTGTTTTTAAAATTATGAAAACAGAATCTGCAGCAAAGATATACGCCCCGATTTTAAAATTTGTTTTTTTCTGGAATTTACCGAATACTGCCGCAGTCTCAGATACTTTTGAGATTAGAAAGTTTATGAAAGGACCATAAGAAAAACAAAAACTTCAAGAGAAGGGGAATATTACATGGGACACATTTGTGACAAGTATTCAGGAACAAGAAAACCCTTTTCACAAGAATTTCAAAATAAAATAGGTAATTTAATTTTACCTAATTTTTGCCTTCTCATTAATTAAGAATTTTCCTAGTTTACTTTAAAACTTACATGAGTTTAAGGTTTTGCAGGTATTGACATTTACTGGTTCAAGGTTACATCTTAAAAGAAATCACTCGAAAAAATTATGGAAAATTCAATTATTACTCACTTAAACAAGGTGGGGGCTTCTTATTTCCAAATATCAAATGTTTTTACAATTTAAAATTTATCCCTTCTCAAAATTTACAGTTTTTCACCATTTTTTAAACCTTTTACCGTCTTTGCAAAAGATGCCTATGACCCAGGGGGCACAACTGTGAGCAGCAGAGGGTCATAACAAAAACTCACCTGTTTATAATTTCTTTAAGCTCATATTCAGACATGTACTGGGGTAGATTGGCCACGAACAATGTTGAACACGGCGCTGCACTAACAGTCACTCCAGGTTGAGAGCTTGATGAGGATCCCACTGGGGAGGCTAGGGTGGGCGATGGCAAGAAATGAGGCAGCGAGGTGTGCATAGCTGTGAGAGCTGCGGTTGGGTGATGCGGCATGGACATGTGATGCTGCAAATACAACATCCTCCGTTAAAAATTTTGATTTCGATCATTCATCAAAACTGAGAGTTATTTTACGTAGATAAACTACATTTTTCATTGATCTAGTCGTTCTGATGAGCGCTTCTATGACATCGTGTCGAGACTTTTGACTGTGCAATTATGCATATTCCCTGATAAGAAACCAAAGTTTTCTAACCGAAATTGTTGGAAAAACCATATAAATCTGAGGAGTTCCGGATATAAATATAAATTTTTTTCATATGTCAGCCAATTCTTTAGCGCACATTCAAATTTTTAATTCCAAAAGCGTTCTTGATTTTTACATTATCTGTTCAATGAAAGTTCAATAATGGAGACTTAGGTCAATATTTTGAACTTTAGTGACGGAGGGTACTTAAAATGTCCGCAAAATTTGAAAAAAAAAAATGGTCTTTAAGCAGTAGAAGAAGATATTCTTGGTTTCTAAAACAGATTCCCTGATTTTACCCTGGTTTTCCCTGAAATTTTTGATTCCCTGAAGAATTCTGGTTTTTGTTTGGTCCTAGACACCACGTTCAATGAAAACAGTACCTATGCACATTCAAAGTTTTTCTGGGATAATAAAATTCTTTTTCATAATTTAACGCAGCAAATGTAGTGCACAGCAATAAATGCATGAAAAAATTCGCGACTCATTTTGCTCCAAAAAAATGACTTTAGGCTTTGTTAAAAGTTTTTGTAAAAAAAATCTTCCATTTTATTTTGAAGTCTTCACGCAATGTGGCTATAATGGCAAATTTAGATCACAGAGAAAATGACTTTTAACTTGACTTTTCTTTAGAAACTTCCTTCTATCTGTACCTAAGTAGATTTAAAATATAAACAAAATATCTGATAACATAGCATTAATACTGTTCCAAAAAATTGAATTATACTTACGAGTACCTATATCTACGGACAAATGGACAGTATACAGTACCTAATCAGTAATATACGCTGCAAGACAAACAGATTTTAAAAGGACAAACGGGGAAAGGGGAGGGATATTAAATATTTTCTTTAGGCTCAAATTCTTGGATGAAGCAAGGCCATTCAGAATTTATGGAAGTAACAAGGTATATTTCAAAACAAATTTTGAGCCACCAAGGCAAAGGGGAATTTGCAACCAACGCGAGAAATAAGATGAAAATAGTTAGACAAAACAGCGTAAAAGAAATGATTGCAGGGTAAGTAAATGAATAAATGCAGAAGAAGTGAACTTTTTCGAATGACCAACTAATTTCATGACAAGTATTGCGAAGGATGATAGGTACTTGCATTTGGTTGAGTTTGAATTGAGAAAACATTGCCTCATGAAAGAGAAGATTTTCTCAAACTGCATAGTACATGATTTGAATCTTCAAATGGATACTTTTCTGGAGATTCCAGAATGTCCTCAATTGTTTCACTTTTTCACAAAAATATAATGATCAAGAGGCAAAAAGATGTCTTTAGTATCAAATTCCGTATGTTTGAAAAAAAATGGTTCAAGCATCTATTCAGCTTCCTCAAAGTCGTTTGGGTCGTATAAGTTGTATCCTCAAAGTTGGTCCTCAAAGTCATATAAGTTGAGCTTTTTTTCTTTCAATTTCAGAAAGTTTAACTGCGGTAAATTCCAAAATACCAACAAATTTTAGACTTTCCCGGGAAACTTTTAGTTTTTCTCTCTTGTACCTTCGTTACTCAAAAGTAGACTTTCAAAGCTACCAAACAATATTTTTCAAAACAGTAAGAACATAAAACTAGAAACTCTGTAGAAATTGAAGGTTCAATTCATAATTTTCTCAATATTTTCATAAATTTAATAAAATTGTAATTGGAGATTGAGAATTTGAAAATCTTAAAATTATGTTTTAATGGATGTACCATAGTGCTGAGTTTTTACATTCAGAATTAATGAGATATTGCTCTTTGAAAAACGTGGGACACGACATCACTCACGCATCATTTGTTATCAGATAAAATTACTCCCTGTTAGTCTTTCATGAGACCGAACTCAGAGTGTGTACTGACGATTTGGATGATGACATCGACCATATTTTTCAAAAAGCAATATATTAGCACATTTCTCCTATTAGGAAGAAAAAGAAAATGGAGAGTCGATCGAGAAAATCAGAAGACAAAGAGTGGAGTGAAAAAAGAGTGAAATGTATGCAGTGGCGTATCCTCTTCTGTTGAAGAGCACAAAAGGCATTGGAGAAAGAATAAATTATTTAACAGAGTTTAATAGAAAGACAGGCAGTTCAGATAGATCCTCAAGCTACCATTCCGAAGCTTCATTAGCTATAAAGCGTTCCTAGTTACCAAGGGTTAAGGAAAAGGATGCAAATAATTACTAGTCACACCACCATTGTGACACCTGAGAGGATACACCACTGAATATAAACGCAACACATTTAGCTGAAAACCTCTGGGCCACTAGACAAGTTACAAGGAAACCGATATAGCAAATTACAGACTGGAATTATCACTATCTGATGATCCGTGGCCAGGACCTTGGTTTTTTGGTTGGTGTGGCACTTCCTTAGAAGGGCAGTAATTTTTGGCTGCACCTGTCTGCTTTTGAGAGGACTGGAGGAATCTTTATACATAGTGGATGAAATTTTTCACTTGTATTATGAGTAAAATTAAGTCCAAATGATTAATATTGAACGATTTTTCGACTTTTTTCTGGTTTTTTGTAGGGTGTCTGGTTTATCATCCTCAAATTTCTTCATTTCCAGGTTTTCTCGGACACATCAAAATCATTACTCCCTTGGAGTTTTTCCCCTGAATTTTTTTAAAAACACGCATCTGAGTCTTTCATGATGAATTTTAAGTTCTTTATTTTGAGAAGAGAGCGAAAGGGAGGACACCTGTTGGCCTAGAGCAGAGCAGAGGTCTTTGGGCTAAACGTGCAACGGTTACAATTAGAGCACCTATACAGAGAGAGTATTGTCATTTGAATCCTTTTAACTTAGAAAAACTGTGCGACTTTCTGATTGCCCTGGGAATTTTAGCCTTTCATACAGCCCTTGAGGCCCTCTCTGTGCAAACAAAAAACAACAGAGTTCTAGACGCAATGAGAACTTTAAATATCCATCTCTTAAATGAGTTCGAAATAAACTTTAGTAGATCTTTTTGTTGAGAAGTTCACTCCCCTAGATGCATCAATATGGGTGGAACTAGGGGGTCGGGGGGATGTCCCCTAGAAACCTACACAGCCCCCTTCACAAAATGTGAGGGATCCTCTGAAAAGAGAGCGCGATACATCTGTCATTGTCGAAATTGTATTTCAACTGACATATGAGTGAAAATAGCTCCAAATTGCTCATGGGACATCTCAATTTTCAAAATTTTTCAGGGAGACCTCCCTCATTCTGGATCCTCCTTTAATTCTGATGAGGTTCCCCGGACCCCATCTGGAGAGTGCTATTTGACCTTTCTGGATGAGTTACCACAAAAAATTCCTGGTTTCGCATTTAATTTCTCCCAGGAAAATGCAAATTCCAATAGGTCGGGTTTGTTTTCATTGAACTCTGAGAGACCCTACTAAAAACGTTTAAAGACGGTGGACCAATCAGAAAGCGGCAGAAAAATGGCAATACTCTCCCTCTGCGGTTACTCCATTCTACAACTAGGAACATTAATCGCTGGCTCGTTTCAGAAACAACGTATGTACAGTTTTTTTTTCCTATGCACATACGTGTTTTTTCGGACGAGTCAGAAATTATAGTTCCTGATTGGAAAATGAAGTGCAGGTAGGGCGAGACAGTGAGACTATAAATAACGTTGCAAATCGGAGAGAGGTATTTACATTAAAAGGTGGCGGGTCCTGTTTGTCAGCGGGAGATAGTCAAAGATAAGAACGTACTGGAACTTGGGGGTGAAGCGCAGGGTGGACGAGGGTGGCGTGTTGGAGGGCCGCCCCGGGCAGCTCGGCCGGTGCAGCGTACGCCAGAGGGTGGGGCCACAGTTCCGGCGTTCCGGCCGGGAAAAACGGGGTTCCGAGATCTGCAACAATTTACAAAATTCAGGTTTAAACACCTTCGAAATTCAACACTCAACAGTGAAAAATCAAACAAAAATTGCACTAAATTTTGCAATTTAGAACTATAAATTCTAGCCCGATTTAAAAACAACGTATGTGCCATTAGTTTCCCTATGCACATAAGTGTTTTTCCAAAAGAGCCAGAATTCATAGTTCCAAATTGCAAAATGCAGTTCAATTGAAAAATAACAAAAAACTAATTTAGAGATGAAAGGAAATTAATGGTACATATTTTGGTTTTGAACACAACCGGAAATTTTGGTTCTTGAAGGCAAATTGAAGCTCAACTGGATTACATTTTGCAATAAGGAACCACTATTTCTGGCTCATTTTAGAAACAACATATTTGCCACTGATTTCCCTATGTAGATACGTGATTTTATGGAAGAGCCAGAGATAGTGGTTCCTTATTGCATAATGTAATCCAATTGGTCTTTAGACATTTTGAATTCACTTTTTGGTGCTTAAAAATTAGATGGTAGTAATGAATTTTCCTCAGAATATATTTTAGGACTGGCTTTAGAGGAAATATTGATAATTCGATTTTTTTTCAAAAAAAAAAAAAAAAAATTGCACTAAGTGCACTAAAATTATTGTCCTCAAAACCTCTTAATTGAGAAACGTGGATTGGGAATTCAGCCATCGATATAAATTAGTCAGGAACGTCACGTATTTTACATTCGGTCTCAGAAAGATGCCATATCTTAAAGAAAAGTGAAAAATGGGTAACACACATAATTTAAGTCGAGCCGTTTTTGGTCTCAAAAATGCGTAAAAACGGCTCTCTCGTGGGTAAGCGAGGATGGGGTGGCGGG